AGGTACTCAAGGCAACGAGGAGGCGGATCGAGCAGCTAAGAAAGCCACCGATCTCTGCCGGGTTGCCCTTGAGGTCCCAAGCTCCATCGCCCAAATTAAAACTCAGGTTAAATTATATAGCATGAAGCGCTGGGGGCTGGAATGGCGGAGTTCCGAGAAAGGGAGACAGACATTCAAATTTTTTAAAGACCCGAAATTAAATAGACTACAAGCAAACTTCTATCTCAATCAATTTTTAACAGGCCACGGAGTGTTTGGAGAACACCAATATAAATTATTCCACAAAACTCCAGAATGCAATTACTGTGGTGAATATCAATCTATTGATCATTTGTTAATGAATTGTTCTCAATTCCAGACAATCCGGGGCAATAACTTTAATAATATTGGTCAACATCAATGCTATGCTAACCTGACTTGTAGAAATATCATAAAAAAGATTGTTCATGTTCATGGGCTGTTGCCATGTCCGATGTGTATTTTATGTATTTTATGTTTGTACTGTTTTCTGGATTTTTTTAAAAATTTTAATAAACATTTACCCGTATGCCCTAATTAAGGGCGGGTCGGGGTGAATTCTTCCATTCTCTCTGTGTATGTTTTAACTGAAAGAACCACTTGTGATTTTTATGTGAATTTTGACCTCATACACGCACCTTGTTCTGGCGATCTACTTAAGTTCTATGAAAAATCACGCCAAACGACAAGGGAGTTGGCAGAGAAAATGGAATGCTGTTGTACTGGAACAATCATTTTTTTAAATAAAAAACCGCGGGAACTTTATTTTAACCTTATAAGGGCATGGAAGGATAAGTTATGTTGTCATGGTAACCAAAGAATTAAATTTCAATTTCAGGTAAGCAGCTCAATTGATATTTCCAAAATGAAATTCAAGCTTCTTTAGAAAAGAATTCATGGTTTAACACACTTCAACTATGTCGGGTCACTGAAAAGTTTTGAAGTCAATCTTGTACCGTTTTATACATGATATCAATTAATCCTTTGCTTACTGTTGGTACAACATATGAACCACATGTGATGATACAACATGGTATACAGTAAGCAAAGGGTTAAAATAATATGGCTGACGTTTCAGATAGTTGGAATGTTTGAACGTTTATGACAGAAGCAACAAGTTAAACATTTTGATAGTTGTTATTTTTAATCACATTTGATAAAGTGTATAATTTGTGTCTCCCGACTGATATTATGGGCTTAAACTTGTGATAGAGGTAATGTAGATACAATATGAGAAGAAAACATGATTATAATACATACTATGAATCTTATGCATAGGCACAGGATGATTATGTAGTTATTTTTCACCTCTTTGCACTTAAAAATAAACATTGAACTTCAAACACAAGTGTTTTATCACTGTTAAAGACAGACAAGGACTATTGGTTAACGTTTTGATCATCTAGGACAGTAAAATAGGCAATCGTAGTCAATGGAACAGGGTAATTATGAAGCCATTTCCCTCCTCGTCGCACCTCATCATAAACATGGTCTTTCCACCAACCAGCTGGGAGATAAATATCACGTGTTCTTTTACCATCTTCCAAAACAGGCGCTACCATAATTTTATCTCCGACAAGAAACTGGGAATCGCAGATTTGAGCGTATTCTTCTTTTGGAGAAATCCACCATAGGGGTCGCACAAGAGGAGCAGCGGTAGTTGGAAACTGCTCCAACGCCATTTTGTAAATGGGTAACACGAGTTCTTGCCTTACCGCGAATAACTTAAAAGCTGTCTCAATTACTTCACTATCGTAATAACCAGGTGAAACAGTGAACTGAACAATTGGCAAAAATAGAGCCATTTCCATCCATCGGAGGTATAGTTCTTTGGATGGAATTTCACCTCTACCATCGCCACCAACAGATCCAGGATTCACAAGAGGATATCCCATAATGCTAAGCGTCAGAACTTCCGGTATAATAGATCCAAGACCACTTAAACTATCCCATGAGACTGTTCGAGGTGTAAGTCGCACAAAGCCAGGCAAGCTTTGAGTTAGGAATCCAACTTCTGTTCCGATCAATGAGTTTAACTTAACAGCAAGGGACAAATAATGGTGGAGATACAAATCTGGATTTGTGGAAGACTCGTGGAAGGCGTAGTATCTTGGTAGGTATGTGGTTTGGCCACCAGTGAACACAAACCCATCAATGTCATACTTTCGTTTCAGTTTTAGCAATCTTTCCAACAACCAGTTGGCAGTAGAATTGCTTGTCAGGTCTAACAACCCACATATTTTTCCTCGCCATCTGGTAAGAAGTGGTACGTGTTTCCATTTATCCGTAACGAGGTGATGTCCTTCCGTAGCTTGATCGAATAATCGAGATGGCAAACACACAAATGGATGTATAGTTAGCAAAACGCGAAATCCTTTGTTTCGAAGAATTTTTAAAATTTCCTTTGGGTTCGGAAATGTTGTTTTATTGAAGTCTAAACTTCCTTCTTCCTGTTGCCACCTGCTGTCCAATACAAAAAAACCCAGAAGCCTGGCTGTATGTTCCATAATTTTGTTTGCAAATTGCTGAATAGATTCCTGACTTAGTTCCTGACCGGGGGATTGAATCCAAATCGGGGACATCAGAAACACACCGCTGGAATTATTCTTAAGTAGGGATCGGTAATTCAACATCATATCTTGGTGAAGTACGCGCATATCGTTCCCAGTACATATTGTGTATTTCAAATATATGGGGTCACTTACTTGGTAGGGAAAGTCTTGATCATTTCTTGACTGTAAACACAAGTGTTTGTCACTTATGGACACATACAGGGGAATGTTGGGATCAGCATGAACCGCAACGCCTTCTGACGACAACCAGTATCGGTCTATAATTCCACCGAACGTTTCTTCAACACCATCTCCTGTTACTAAAGGAAATGACAAATCTCCTGGAGTCTCTTTGAGGGGCCATCGAAGACCCCTTTGGAGACCCATTCCATACCAGTGGGAGTTCTTCAACACAAAACAGTCTCTCAAGAGGGTGTTCGTTTCTAAGCTTTTCCATTGAATGTTGTAGCAACTGTGATTCGAACCGTGGGATATGTTCATGTGTAGCTTTGCCCTGTACTTCCATTCTTCACAAATCTTTGTAGCAGCCTTGGGATGGTGAATATCACACTGGTATGGGTTGAGATCACTTGGAATTCCTCTTCCAAGAACAGCTTCAACGAGTTCTGTTCCATCTTCGTTCAAAAGATGAAGAATTCTGCTTCCTTCGTGAAATTTTATCTTGTTTCCAATCGCTATCTGCCACAGTTGTTGTTGGTACGTGTGCCAGGTGAAAGATACTAGAGTTATGATAAGCGCGAACAGGGTTAAAAGAATCATTCGAAAACGAAACTGCGGATTCTTGCTTTGTTTCATGACAGCTTTCACTTTTGCACTCTGAAAATGGAGAAAAAAAATTATCAATTTAATAACTACACAAACTTAATAATATATTTCAAATGATTTTCAAGCAAAAATCTTTTTAGATTGCACAACAAGTAGATCACAGTCGTTAAGGAGAAAAAATGACTTGTTCTATCCTAATGGAAATAGCTTGCGAATATAATATTGTGTTTCTTTTGAGTATTTTAAGATCCTAGAATCAATTGTAAGACTGGAAGTAACATACTGATAAGCAATATTCAAAAATGGAAATAGTCTACGAATATAATGTTGACTTTCTTCTGAGCATTTTAAGATCCTAAAATCATTTACAATAGAAATGCTTAAAGCAATGTAATGACAAGCCACATTTTCAATAATGAAAATAATCTACGAATGTAATATTGAATTTCTTTTAAGTACTTTAAATCATTTATGATTGAAAAGCTTGAAACAATATAATGGCAAACTACATTTTCAAACTGTTCAGAAGAGAGGATTTTGAGAAAACACTACTATTTCCTTGAACGCAATACGTTGTTTCTATGTATTGTGTTGTTTTCTTGTGGAAATTCTAGAAACTAGCCAAGCACCTGTCTCGAATCAATACTAAGGAACTGTTTGTTTAAAAATTATCTCTTTTGAAGTAAATTAGGGCTTATCACTAAATTGGCTTAAGCCGTTCAAATTCCAGTTTTTCACAGAAGTGTTATTTAAAGTTGTTTTTTTTTTAATTAAAAAATACATGGCAGTAAAATAAAAATGTAACAATATCATCTAATTTATTTTGAAATTATATTTCAGTAAAAAAAAAGAAAGAACCAATTCAAGTTATATTTTTTCGATAGTATGGCCCGGAGAGCTGTCGAAATTCGGATCCCTTAATCTTATTTATTTCACCAAATCTCATATTTTTTTTTATAGCGAATGAAATTTTTTTACGTGCAATTATAAAATTCGTTTAACAAAAGAAGATTTCATAAAAAAATAAATTTTTATAATTATTTTTTTAATATTTTATTTAACAACAGTCTAAAAAAATGAGAATTGTAAAATATGCAATTTTTTTCATCACTGTAAAGAATGTCGTTTTTTATAGCAAACCATAGTGTTTGAACAAAATCGGTCGAGTAGTTCACGTGAAACTTTAACTGTATAACCTTTTGAAAATTCGGTTTTTCAGGAATTCGATTCTTTCGAATTTCGTCCGATTTCATTCTTCCAATTTTATATTTTGGCTAATAAAATTATTTTCTTCAAAAAGAAGATAACATTTTGTCGACTGTAATTAAATGAATAATAAATAATAAATATTACTTTTAAAGATTATTTTTTCTAGGGAATTATCTTTGGATAAACAGCTATACTTTTTTCCAAGGAATTATTTTTGGACAAAATGAATTTTATAAAACTTTTCAAATCATTAAAAACTCTCGAGATAGACACAATAAGTAAGATTAACATCGAGGGGTCCACATTCCAACCGCTGTTCTCCCCAAACTATCGAGACCATATTTCCCAGATTGCGACTACTTTTTTGATGACTGGTTTGGATTTCTAGCCTCATATATTGAGGATTAGAAATCATAATACATAATAAAAGGTATGTTTTTTTAGTGAAAGTACGCTTTTCAGTTTGATTTTGCAACTTAAAATTGCGCCTGCACTCATTGGAGGTCACCCCCGTGAACCATTAAGTTTATGTCACAAAACATGAATATCCGATCATTAGATCAAAAGTTATTCAGGGTGTGCTTGGAATTACTAACGTACCAAGTTTCAACCCGAGGTGAATTTTTCAAGTCGTGCTCTCTCTTTTCTAAAAATATGTAAATTAAATAACTCATAAATGCAATAAATGTTTTGTTGTAAAAAAAAAAAATTCTATTAATTAAACTTGATAACTTTTTTTATTTACCTTTAATAATTTAATAAAAAAATAATTGTTAGTATTTTTTGATCATTTTAGTTCACTTTTACTATGTATTTCTCCAGATTTTTGTCGTGAAACAAAATCCATTGAACTCAAATAAAGAAATATTTACATGTTATAAAATTGTCTAAAAAGGTTCCTTGAATGGAACTTTTTTTCCTTTATTGCAATTTTTCATTGTTATTTAAAACTCCGTTCAACGTGGTTTAACAGTTTTACATAGAAAATCATTTTGCAAAGGCATAGAAACAAAAACAAAAACTTAAAATATTATTTTTTTAAGAAATAAATATTGCATAAATGTTGTCCAATCAATTGGCTTCAGAGTCTTAATTGATGTAACGAATCAAAATGAGAGTAAAAAATAATGTATAATTGACCCTTACCCACATTTTCCATGTATAGAGAGTTCTTACAAAACGTACAGATACAACGCTAAAGCGTAACGCTTATAATTACAACAAGCAGACATTTTAAAAAAATGAATGGAGCGTAAAGGAAGAATCATATTTCCGGATTGGCTGTTTTTTTGGAGACTCTTCCTTCCGACATACGAAATCAGATTTGCAGACTCGGTTGTTAAAATATTCGACTCCAACTTATTCTCAATTGAAAATTTCGAAGAACCCCCACAAATTTTTTAATTTTATTTAGACTGTAGAAAATTGCGTCGAGTTCTCTGCTTATCGCTCTGTTTTTCCATTAATGAATCTTATGATTGAGGCTAGACCGGTAGTAGAAAATTACAGTTAAAGGTTAAAAACGTTTTGCAGCTTGGAAGAATTTGTAGAGCGATTGGAGTTAGGTCCGAGGAATGAAAGACAAGTTCACGACATTGGTAAATGCTGGAATCTGAAGAGATGAGGTAGAAGAGATAAGTAGGTACTTTATTTACGTCACACTAGAGCTGCACAATGGGCTATTGGAGAAGGACTGGGAAACATCCTTAAGGGTGATCTGCCATCACAATTTTGATCCGTTGCAGAGCTTTGGTAGCCCGACTACCTCCAAGCAAAATCAACCACTTTACGCTAGAGCAGTTTAACGAGGACCGATAAGGCACACCCTCCGACCCTTCACAGACTGAGCCAAGTGGTCAACCACACACACACTGACCACAGCCTGTGATAATTGACTTCGGTGATTTGTTGGGAACCATGTCTTAACGATCAGTCCACTGCGGGACCTGAAGAGATAAGAAATGGCTGTAGTTGTAGTTCATTTACGTCGCACTGAAGCTGCACAATGGGCTATTGGCGTCGGTCTGGAAAAGATCCCTGAGGATGATCCGAGGACGATAAGAAATGGTAAAGTTCTTTACGAGCGTTCTGGAATGAGGGACATTCTTATAGGAAGTGTTCGTTCGTGTCCACACGTCCGCAATGCTTAATATTATTGTTTATTGGATGCCTTATTGGTCTATTGATTTATTGGAATCTCATACATTTGCAGTCTCGTGTGCTCAATTTAGACTTATAAGCCTTTGTCATATAGAAGGACAGATAGCAGATAAAGAGAAGAACAGCAAGAAGATACATCCAGGGTACCATGGGGATTAGGGTAACCCGTCACCTCCACGCTTTGCATAGCGTTTGGCGGGCGATACCACTCTGTCAGGGAGGCCCCACTTAATATTATTCATTCAGTAAGTACTAATTCCAATTCATGTACGTATGGTTAGAGTCACAGGAGTTTTTTCCAAAATTACAATTCTAGTTATAATTTCATATAGCCACTTAATCTAAAAAAAGCGTTCAAAACTGAGCTAAGTATAATAGTTGTTACATCTACATGTGCAAACTTGTGTGCTTATTACAAAATACGGCATAAAGCTCCATTATCAAGGTGAAAAACAGATAACTTAAGTAAGAGAAGGAAATCACGAGAATAGACTCAGGGTTACGGAGGGATTCGGGCACCCTACTTCCATACTACAGAGCATTTGATGGAACCGCTCAGTCAGGAAGGTAGAAGTAGTTTTACTTATGTCGCACTAGATATGCACATTGAGCTATTGGCGACGGTCGGGGAAACATCTCTGCGGATGATCAGAAGACATGCTGTTACAATTTTGATCCTCTGTAGAGGGTCAGTGCAACGACGTTAGCAGTGCAACGACGCGCGCTGCATTGGACAGATTAACGAAGTTCTGATACCATTCACCCTCGGATCTTTTGCAGACTGATCTAACTGGTCATCCACTGTTGCAGTGACTTCGGTGATTTACCGAGAACAGTTTCTTACGATCCGTGGGACATGCCTCCATCGCGATTCGTAAAGAAAAGCGAAATACATTTAACTTACACCACACAAATAAATATGGTTTTAATCCTGCTCTTTCTAGCCTCAATAACGGTTGATCCAAATTCGGAAATGCTTTTACTTTTGCTCAGTAAAATAATAATATCCGATGCCTTATGTGATTAGATTTTATTTTTTCATATTTTACAAGGATTTACAAGTATATACATAACAGGCATTCATTGTGGAAGATCTTGTATAAAAGAAGTGGTTCTAGGTGTTAAGAAATTATTATTATTCTTTTTAAAAAGAAAACGACAGGAGTTACGCTGTGCAATAAGGAAAAGTTGTTCACGTTGTAGTGAGGTAAATATGAAACAAAGTGTGTGTTTTATGGTCAAGATAAAGAAGGAGTTCAAGACGCTGTAAAGTGCATGTAAGACAAATGCCTTGAGAAGTTGTGGTATTCGGTACTTTTATTTACGTAGCACTAAAGCTGCACAATGGGCTATTGGCGACTGTCTGGGAAACATACCTGAGTCTGATCCGGACACAACATACGTACGTCACATCCCGTCGCATTGACACACCATCCATCTGTCCGCAGATCCTAATTTTGACCTGAACCGGAGCATGATCAATCTCCGATCCAGTACTCCCAGATATTTGTTATCGGAAATTGGAGGACTTTGTGACTCCAACAGAGCTAGCTTTCACCAGCCACCGCTTTGGACCCTTGAAGTGCTCGTCCGGTGGGATCGAACTCACGACCCCTCGGACATGAACCCAACGTCCTATTAGCCAGGCTATTTCAGCCTCTCGAGAAGTTGATGCTGTTGTTGTAGTTCATTTACGTCACACTAGAGCTGCACAATGGGCTATTGACGGCGTTCTGGGAAACATCCCTGAGAATGATCCGTAGACGTGCCATCATAATATTGATCCTCTGAAGAGGGGATGGCCCCTACGCTTCGGTAGCCCAATGACCTGCACGCGAAGTTGAGCACTTTACGGTAAAACAGTTTAACGAGGACCAATACTTCACACCCTCGGTCCCTACGCAGAAGGATTCAAGTGGTCATCCACCCGCACATTGACCGCAGCCAGTGATGCTTGACTTCTGTGATCTGCTGGGAACCGTATCTTAACGATCAGTCCTTTGCGAAGTTGGAAGATAGATTATGAAATTAAGTACGAAGTAAGTAAAATAGGAGTTCATGGAGTTGCAAGCTAAATATGTAAAATGATCTAATAATTGAGCACAACAGATTTCATTGATTAAAATTTGTAGTATATTGAGTGAAAAGAAACATACATTGAACTTACTGATGCTTGTATGTTTTTCTTGTATTTGTGCCTTCGCCTCTTGCTTTTGGTCGTCGTCCAAGTGACGTTGTCCAAACCGAGTTTGAGGGCAGGTTTGAGGTTGAGTTTCTTCTTCTTTGTTGCAGGTGAAGATGAGGGAGATCCTCCCGGTGTGGTGTTGGTGGAGGAGATGCCAGTAGCAGAAGATTCAATGGACATCATGCTGCTACCCATGGAAGATCTGGTGAAGACCGACTGGGCCCAACTGTCCAGAGAGGACAGGTCATCGTTGCTGGCACGATTTCGCAATTCGATCCTTTCTGTTAAATTAATATATATATGATAGATTAATATATGTTCAATCAAGATATCATTAATTTTTATACCATTTTATTACTGACAGATTTTCAGCTATTTGAATATTTATTAAAAATACTTATTATCAATAGTCAGCTGCCATAAGTTAATGGACTTAATTCACAACTCAGCAAATCTACCGCAATTTCCAAAATAAACTTCGCACTCTTAAATAAGACCGAATAAGAGTATAAATCTTAACTTATGCTAATCGAATAGGATTTGTCTACCCTTAGGTCTGCACCAACAACAGCGCCAAATAAATTATATATCAAAGTCAGCCGGATCACCTTATCTACCGTGTAGGTTTTAGTAATTTTTCTTTCCATATGGGACGTATATGCTGATTAGTTATTATATTCAAAAAGCCTTTTACAAAAGCGAGTTACGATAATCTGAGTGTCATTGTCAGGTTTAAGATGGGATTGAGCACTGATAGCTGCACATCCTATAGGTGGATCTGTTGGGTAGCGTCTGCGATAAACATGAAATTGAAAGTTAAGGAATAAGCACGTTTTTTTTCGGAACGCTTGATGAATGAAATTATTCCAGATTTGCATCACAAAATTCTGCCCACGCCCAGCCTGGCCACAAGTTTACTTTTACCTATCCATCCACCATTGGAAATATTTTGCTCTAGTACTGTAGTCTTCGCAAACTGGAAAGTACGAACGAATTACGCCCCGCAGTGGATTAAGACACGGCTCACAGTAGAATACCTAAGTCAAGCATCACTGGCTGTGATCAGTAAGCAGGTGGATGACCACTTTGAGCAGCCTGCGTGGGTACCGAGGGTGCGTGGTATCGGTCCTTGGTAAACTGTTCTACAGTAAAGTGCTCCACTTCACTCTCAGGTCAACGGGCAACAAAAGCAGGGGAGCCATCCCCTCTGCAGAGGATCAGCATTTCAGTGGTATGTCTTCGGATCATCCTCAGGGATGTTTCCCAGACCGTCGCCAATAGCCCATTGTGCAGCTCTTGTGTGACGCAAATAAAGTACCTACCTGCGAGCGAATTATTAGTCATCACTAGAATTTTAACCAGGTTGGGCAAGCACACATTAATTAGAAGCGAGGACACAACTCACCATCCAACCATGGGGCAGTTCCTCGACAGGGAGCTCTTGAAGCCAGCTTGGAAATGTTCAGACGATGCTATTCGAAAACGAACTAAAAAGTAGTTTAATCTGTTTTCCTCGTAAGAGAAGAATGGAGAAGAGGAAAACGGTAGAACAATTCAATGAGGACTGATAGCGCAAATCAACATGTTTCGAACATTCGAAAGTAGGCGTCCATTTTCAAGACTCATTTTCAGCGTGATATAAAGGTGAGTAGTAGTACTTTATTGACGTCACCCTGGAACTGGATAACATCCCTGAGGAGAACTCACATGCTATCACGGTAATTATTAATGAGAACCAATGATCAGTTCAATGTAGGACTGATGTTAAGACAGAAAACTAGAGAAATCGCCGTAGCCTATAACGTAAATCAGAGTAGGAAGATTTGATAAATCAGGAATAGATAAATGCTTCTAATCCTAATTCGCATCTGATGGCTTCCACGGTTTTTCTAGTATTTTCAGCTTTATTTTCGTTTTCTTTTATGAGTTGGTAACTTTGCGTTTTCGCCGACCAGGTGGCTGAGTGGTGAGCGTGCCTGACTGCGGAGCCGATGGTTGCGGGTTCGAATCCCGCTCAGGGCATGGATGTTTCTTTCTCTCTCTGTGTGTTCTATGTTCTTTCTTCGGTGTGATTGTGTGAATTAACCCGCCCTATAAACGGGTTTGTGGTTGTATGAAGTGGGCGACGCTAGTCCACCGCCGTGGCTTAGCCATAGGTGCTCACTGGGTAATGATAAGAGAGTGGCAATTCTGGCATTTCTGAGGCCAATGGGAAATAAATCCAAGTGCCCGCCATTAACCAAAAAACAAAAACTTTGCGTTTTCTTTTTCAAATCTGTATTGTTTACCTCATGACTGGTGAGCTTGAAAATCGGTGCCTATTTTCGAGCCCTTGAAATATGTCGACTTTTTCCCCATTTATGATTTTTAAGGCAAATGAAGTATATATGTTACCGTGAAGAGCCGAAATTAAGAGAATGTCGACTTTCACCGGTGAATCACATAGTCGCTTCGGTGAATGTCCGAAATATGTGTAATATCCGATTTGATATTAATTTATTCGTTGATATTATTATATTTATTCGATATTTTAACACCTGCTGAGGATTGATTAGGCGAAACATCAGTGTCCGGAGTACCGGCTAAATGCATACTAGGCAATGTCACTTGACCTTAATAAAATATTGATGCAGGGAATACCGGACAACTAGACCTAGTATATATTTCGGACATTTACCTAAGCGACAATGTGATTGTTGACATTCACCGGCGGAAGTCAACAACCACCCATTTCTGTCATTCGCAGTAACAGTGTCAAATAAAATGTGCAGATTTAAAAAATTCTCTTAAAAATAAAGTTTAGAAACCTCCTTCATCCTCCAGCAAAAATGGCATATTATTACTGGAATTTTTTTTTTTAAATGTAACCCAATAAAGAAAACTAACGAAAGTTTAAAGTTTATTGTTTTTTAAAAAATTCATTAAAGAAAGGATATTTAACTTTTATGAAATCAAGCATGCTGTAAAATAGTCTTCTTTTTTTGACATATCAAAACTTTTTCTTGTTTTACTTTTTTCTACACAAACAGCTACTTAATGTTATGTAGAACTAACAACTTGTAGCGAATGCTCAAGAAGCTACCTCTCTCGCCATTTTGGATTTATTTTAAATAACCACTACAACTATTAAACATCAATTTATATAAGATAGGCTAACTCAATTCAATCTTTTGACTATGTTTTGAAGTATTATTATCAGTATTATTTATCGTATTATTTTTTGAAGGTTGACATAGTTGATAAGTTTTTCCCCACAACCACTTAAAAAAAGTTGAAAAATAAAGGAGCCGTTTAATTATATTAGGAAAAATGGCACACGATCATTTTTAGATATTTCGCTGATTTTTCCAAAAACTTTAACTCAAAAAAGGGTTTTGGGATTTTAAATCAGTCCTTTAAAACAACAAGTTTGTCAGTTTTTATATTTTTAAAGTTTCACTTTATTTTAGTTTAAACAGGTGTAAACCGATTTGGATGATGCTAAAAGGTTCTTCTAACTTTAATAGGATACGCGTTCTTCAAGAAGAAGAAGAAGAAGATCACATATACCCACACTTGTGACCTATGTGACGTTAGTGCCAACGAATTGTTTTATTTTATTTTATAACCGTCGTTGAACAACCGACCCAATTTTTGGGGCTTAGGACCACTAGTGTTCAATTCCGTAATCTTATAATCAATTAGGTTCAACTCGTGTTGAACTTAATACAGAAGACAAGGGAACTCCTGGATCAAGTATTGGGAGAAATTTGCCTTAGTGGATGACTTTTTGATGGAACTAACCCGCATTTGCGTTACATGTAGAGGGCAACCATGAAAATCTCCCATGGTTAGCCTAATGGTAAGGGGACTCTAACCCATGATCCGTCTACCACTGAGGATATTTTACGTTATCACTGTGGTCGGTGCAAGCCGGATGCGGAGTTCGTATCGAATAGCCTTTTCTGGGATTTGAAATCAATGCATCTCATAGGAAGGCTATCCCCTCAGATGATCGTCTGTAAGAAAATGGCTGGGAAATACTCTATTTTTCAGGAAAAACCTGGAAAAAAACCTGTTTTCTCCATTTAACAGATTTTATCTTAAGATAGAAAACTTATGATGGCTTAAGGAACTAGAGAAATATTTCCTGTAAAATCTATACCTACAATATGTCTGCATATTTGATGACAATGAGTTCGAAAACCGGTCATCTTTTACAAACTAANAAAAAAAAAAAAAAAAAAAAAAAAAAAAAAAAAAAAAAAAACGGAATAATTAAGTATCAGCTTGATATAGTATATAGAGAGCTTTTTTTAGTGCGCAAAACATACTGGACCAAGTAGGTGGTCATGAATTTTTTTATATCCTAGCTATATATCTACGTCAGCTAAACTTATAAGTGCAAAAATCTCAATTTTTAAAAGTGTGGCGATGACTGGTTGCACTTATAAATCAAAGAATTATAGACATGGGAATGATGACTCTAAGAATCGGAATGACGTTTCTCTTATTACTTCAATAGAGGAAAATAGAAGAGTATAATTAATTAATTAATAGAAGTTTGAAATTTAAAGAAGTTCTTCTGTGTGATCTAATAATATGTAGAGAAAAATATTTCAACTCCTAAGAGATATACTCCCTCCAAAAAATCATAATTTTTTCTAAACTATCCCAAAAATAATAATTTGTACGGTTTTTTTGCCATTTCTAATTTTTTGTTTATTTTCCTAAATTTTTATTTAACTTCTAACTTTAAACTTCCAACAGCACTTCTGCGAGTTTTTCCACCCCTTTTATCAATTTGTTCTCATCCTCTTAGAACTTGGTTTAATCCTCCACCTTTCAAATAAGCAAAATTTTCTGAAACCACGATTTTTACTCACTTTTTCAAAATTATTTGCAAGCAAATAAATACTTTAACTTTTGTAAACGTATTGTTAATCGTTTTTAAATAGGGTACATTTATTACCCCAGATGCTTAAAAATTTCTTTAGCAGAAATATAGGTTAGGACATTAGAAGTTAAAAGAAATCCGAGTGTTATTTAGTGTTAATGGTTAACTGAACTGGTATGAATGAAAATATGTACTATTATATGAAGTTCAATCAGCAGCATCATTGATTGTTAGGAGAAAAAAGAAAGAGTTTACCTACACATCTAGTGTTAACTGTCAGCTGTTATGAATGTTAAATATGTACTTTTATATTCAGTTTAATCAGCAGCATCACTGATTGTTAGGAGTAAAACGAACAAATCTACCTACACATCTAGTGTTAACTGTCAGTTGTTATGAATGTAAACTATGTACTATTATATTCAGTTCAATCAGCAGCATCACTGATTGTTAGGAGTAAAACGAACAAATCTACCTACACATCTAGTGTTAACTGTCAGTTGATATGAATGTAGAATATGTACTATCATTTGAAAATCAATTAGCATCATCATTGATTGAATTTTAGAGAGTAAAAAAAATCTACCAACCTATCTAATGGTAATGGTCAACTGTTATGCATGCAAAATATGTACTATCATTTGAAAATTAATTAGCATCATCACTGATTCATTGCTTATAATAAATAAAATAATCTACCTACATATATATCTACTGTTAACGGTTAGCTGTTGTGATTTAAACGATGCTCTATGTCTACTCAGGCAATTGGCCACATAATTGATTGACTGCTATGAGATAAAAAAAACGAGTCTACCTACAGTAACAGTGAACAGTAAAAGATGCACTGTTATATGCAGTTCAATTGTCTTCATCATTTATGGATTGCTAGGAGTAAAAAAAAAATCTACCTGCGCATCTTAAGTTAATGGTCAACTATTATGAATATAAAATATGATCCACTTCCTCATCGATTGATTGAAATTAGAAAAGAGTGCAACATTACTTGTTTTTGTCACAGATTCGTAGATTGGATTATTTTTGTGGCTCATAATTCAACTTCTCTTTCGGATGGAAAATTCTTCTATAGATCGGCAGACGAACTCACAGCCCCTTATTCAGTCTGATGTTAAAATAGAAAAACTCTTCCGTATTTCTCGTTCTCGATTCATGAACTGCGTGAAATGATCTATCATTATCAGCTACTAAATCAGACGAGAAGTTTTTCTTCCGAGTGATGACATTCGAATAAATATATGTACATCAAATTCTTATCAAGAGCTTATCTTGATTTTTCTTCTTTTTCTCTCCCCTTCTTTTTTGGAATAGTTTATATTTCCGTTTTCTCAGTATATTATTTAATGCATCGGTCTTTTTGATGCGTTCATTTTTGATATTTTCTTAGGTAAATGTAATAAATCAGGGTGAATAAAAAAGAAACTAATTAATAAATCAGTACTGAACAGTGCTACGAAACACAAGATTGAAAGGCGTGTGAAAGTCTATCTTTTTCATTTCAATGTGCATCGACGTAATTAATAATGCTAAAATAATTTCACTTTATGTACTTATTTAGTATGAGTTTTTGCCCATCCTAGTGACTTGATGTTATTCAGATATGCAAAACACGTTTTTTGCAGTTCATTTTATCAGAGCAGACATTAACTGTATTCAGTATCATTTAGCATGGCCAACTTATGTTAGTCAAAATTAATCACTATCAAAAAGTTTTCTCCTGTATATATCAGTTCCTATAGGTCGTTATTTGTACAGTATCCGTATTGTAACTGCTCAGTATGGGTGCAGCTTTAATATTTAACAAGCGTATCAATAGAATACTTTACTTGTATTGGTATATTTGGTACCTATTACATAACAATTCAGTTTTTGAGTTTTGTAAGAAATACATTTATGAGTGGTAGCAAATTATATGCGAAAATTTAAAATCAAATAGAATTGTTATAAGACTTTGATAAAGAATTTGTAGTTTGATCAATTCTCTATCAGATCTTTAAAATATTTATATGTTCCTTTAATTCTAATTCATTAAAATATTAACACAATATCCTGCCACCATTTACAATTTTTTTCCGAAACAGCGGAAATACGTTGTAGAATTCTTATTAAAACTGCACCAATTGCTATAATACCAGTAATATAGAATGAAAAATTAATGAAGCGTCATCTGCGCAAGGCGATTTTCTATGCTCCCCCTAAACGATTAAGAATTTTTTCTCCATTAACTATGCTTTTTGATACAGAGCTTATTTTTTTCCATTAATACATATTGAGTCGTGGGGGCTTAGGGGATAGAGCGTTCACTTTCAAATAAGGTGAACCGGGTTCGAATCCCAACGATGACTGGCCGATTCGAATTCCGCACAAGACTTGCACTGACCCCAGTGCAATTTTTCCTCAGTGGTAGACGGATCATTGGTAAGCTTCCCCTTGCCTGTAGGATACCCGGGGATTTTTGTGGTTTTCCTCTCCATTTAACGTAAATGTGGGTTAGTTTCATCAAAATGTCCTCCACGAAGGCTAATTTCTCTCAATCATTGATCCAAGACTTTCCTTGTCTTTTGGATTTGGTTTTAAATTACAAGACTACGGAGTTGAACCCAAAATTGGTTCGGTTGCTCAACGATGGTTAGAAAATAAAAATAAAATTTTTACATATTGTCAACATTAATTAAGTATTGGTGTCGATAATGAGATTTCTTGCGGGTGCTCAAAACGAATAAGTATATTTTGTTCATTAGCTTTGCTTTTTAGTGCATAGCTTATTTTTTTTATTTCCATTATTACCATGAACTATGGACGATCCCTTCCGACGTCATCACGACACGTTTTTTTTTTAAAGTTTCTCCTATCTGTATTGTCCCAACGCCCTCTAGCGATATTTAACGGAAACAGTTACTTGATTCAGTATATGTGAATAGTTGACACTCTACGGTATATTATTTAGTGTCTCTATTTTTTTTATTTACTTCTGTACGATTAAATTTGTAGTATCAATGGATGAATTATAACTTTTTTTGATTAATTGCTTTAAATTTGAGTTTTCATTCCCCATTTCAATCAAAATTATTGAAGCAATTGTGCGAATTATGTTAGTGATTTGAAATTTTTCATATTGTGCATTCATCTATTTATTGTGCATTTATGTTTCTAATAAACTCCAAATCTTTTATTTTACACAAGGAGTGTGGACTTAAGGTGAAATAATCCCCTCGTTAGGTACTAACAACTGGCAAAAATTTAGCCAGTTCCTAATTTAGTGGGATAAAAATCTCTTATTGACTGGGATAAGGGGGAAAAAAACTGTGTGAAAGATCACTTTATTTCAGGTGAATACCAAAGAGGAGGAATAATTTAAAATACGTAGTCAAATCTAAACAACAAAAAAGGGAAATGATTACACCAAGCTCCCGCGCATTCACAAAATACATGAATTATCTTCGCTGCCAAAAACACCAAAATTGGCTCACTTTGGATAGTTTGTTTACAATCGAATACGAGTCGACGCTAGTTTTTTGTTGTCTTTCAAGTTGCATATAATATTTAATGAAACAAAAATTCACCTTTACAATATGTATGTTCTTAGTTGAGTGATCAGGACAATTATGTTTTAATTTTTTAAAATATCTGTCAACTGTATTAAATAATTTTAAAATGAAGTATTTCAATCCGCTTTGTTAAGCCTAGTTTGAATTCGTCTTAATAATCTCTCAGTGCAGTTGATGAGCAACTATATTTATTTTAAAAATTAGTATTATTTCCATGCATCCCTGATTCTTACTTTACGTTGTATCGTAAGTATAACTTTGCTGACTCGTGTCTTATCATACTGTAATTATTAAGTTTAGTGTTGTTACTAAAAATGGCGGCAAAATGGAATGGCTACTTTAAGCCAATTAGTCTAAAAGAGCATTGTTCGTTTATTTTCCACTATTCTCAGTTCTTGGTGTAGTAAAACCTCAAAAATCAAAGTCGTGTTTCACTAGTTAGGTGTAAAGCAGGTGCCATCATTTTCAGATATTTAAAATTCGATTTCTCAAGATTCGACCGATTTTGCTCAAATTTTTTATTTTGCCTTATAAAATGATATTCTTTACAATGAAGTAAGGAACTGTATACCTTATAATTCAAAGTGTTTTCGGCCATTATTAAGTTAAATAATAAAAAAATAATAAATATTTCCTAAAAGTTATATTTTGCCTGGAATTATCTTTAGATAAACGGATTTTATAATTGTGTGCGAAAATTTTTCAATTCGCTTATAAAGTTGATAGAGTGAAATATGCAAAAAGTAAAATTAACATTGCGAAATACAAACTTTGGATCGCTCTCCTGACTAAACTATGGGAACCCTACTTTTTTTTCCCTCACCGTACATAAAACAAAAAACGTAAGGCACATCGCTTTCATAATGAGTTTCTATCACTGCCGAAAATTCTCCCTACTGACGCCTTTTTTTTCGAAAGTGACGCGCCTTTTTCGCTTTATTTCTGGCAATATAAAATGAAATAAATTTTTCTACTTAGTCTACATGAAAAACATAGCGTTTTTAAACTTTTTATTTTACTTTATTATCTGACAAATATTGCGCAAAATTTGAATATCGTGCATATTTTCTCCTTTTAATGCCATTCTCTTGATGGATGGACTTTAAAAAAACAAAATTTTTTCCTCTTCCTTACATTCAGAACAATTTATAATCGCGGAAGAGCTTTAAATAATACTTTTTAATAATGAAACTGGCAACAAAAAGATGAAACAATGAAGCGATCAATGCAGAGTAGACCTTGGCGTTTCAGTTTTAAATACGGATGATACAATCCGTTAAAAGTAAAGAAATGTGTGTCAATTTGCAAAATAAGATCCATTTTCCACGCACTCTATTTATTTCAAAAGATTTTGTGTTTCGATATTTACATTAAAAACGAGTAAATATAATAAAATAAAACTTCCTACAAGTGCAGAATAATATACTAAACTGATGAATAGAAGAAAAAAATGAAGGCGTTTGTGATTTTGCTTATAAAGATACCAGGTTTACTGGCATCAGTAGAATTATTTTGGACTGCAGCAAAACAAATCGTAGTTCAGGATGAGGTCTCTGTTTGCAATAGTTGCATTAATGTGTATTTGCCAAATGGATGCGAGGAAATGTAAAAGAGAAGATCGAATGAAAATGAAAGAAATGGCTAAGAGTAAGACTATCTTCATTGTTAAATTGTGGAATTTAAACTTTGTTAAAATATTATAAGCATTTTATTATCATAAAATATGCACGTTAAATTTTTTTGAAACTCAATATTCTGGGTATTATCATGAAATATATGTCTTGTATGTTTTTTAAAACTTAATATTTTACGCCTAATCATTATACGTATTATATAATTTTTAAAACTTAGTGTTCTACGTATTATCATAAAATGTACTTACTGTCTGTTTTTTAAAACTTAATATTCTACGCGTTATCAAAAAATATATAATGCTTTTTATAACTTAATATGTTACGTATTGTCATAAAATATACGTATTATATGTTTATTAAGACTTATTAATCTACGATTCTACATATTTTCATAAAATATAAGTATTATTTTTTATTAAAACTTCATATTCCATGTATTATCTTAAAATGGACGTATTATATGTCTTAGAACTTAATATTCTATACATTATCATAAAAAATACACTAGTTTATATTGTGAAGATAATAATTTCTAAAACTGTATAATATCAATGATTGTGCTACAGCTATTGTAGTCTTACGGGGTACTTTCCTATAGTTATATTTTATTACAGCAGTTATCGGATTTGATGTTTATTGCTATATACAATGTCGTATATTAAGTTTTTAGGTTTTTAGTTAGCAAAGATACTAAGTTAGTGGAAAATGTAATGTGTCAAAATTTCGCGGACATAAGTTCGCGTGGACAAAACCTCGCATGGATAAAACTTCGTACGGACAAAACTAGGTTTGGACAAAACATTTTGAGTTGTGTTCATTTTCTGAAATACGCATTTCGGGCCGTATCCATATTTTTAAGCACGCGTTTCGAGCTTTGTTCATCTTCTAACTGTATCCTTATTTTAAAATATGCATTTCAAGCTTTGCTCATTTCCTTAAATTCGCATTTTGAGCCATTTCCATTTTTTCAAACAATCATCTCGTGCTGTGCCGCAATCTGGGAAATTTGGTCCCAATAGTTTGTTCAGGAGAGCGGTCAAAAAGTTTGACCCCTTTATGTTAATTTTACTTTTCGCGTATTTTGCTATATCTCAAAAACTTTTCAAGCGAATGAGAAAATTATTTTCACACAATTATAAAATTCTTTGTCCAAATATAACATCATGCAAAAAATAAACTTAAATTAAATATTTATTATTATATTTAATAATGGACGGAAAAAGCTTGAATTGTAAGTTATAAATTTTTTACATCATTTGAAAAAATATTATTTAACGTGACAAAATATAATCTTTGAGCAAAATGTGTCAAATAGTTCCTGAGAAATCAAATTACAAATGTCTGACTCTTTTGAAATTTAATATCTCAGGAACTATTCAACCGATTTTGAACAAATTTTGTATTTTGTGGGGCAAAATTATATTCTTTAAAATGCTACGTGAAATTGTAAATCGTACAATTCAAAAATTTTTCGATCGACCATTATTAAATAAAATAATAAATATTTAATAAATGTTAATTTTTGCACTTAATTATCTTTGGACAAATGAATTTTGTAATTGCTTGTAAAAGTTTTTTTATTCGCTTAAAAAGTTTTCGTGATAATACGCAAATGGTAAAATTAACAATAAGGGGACAATCCTGATCAAACAATTGGCACACTATTTCCTAGACTGTGACAACTCCCTATATTTTGGGGATCAGAAATTTGATTCCGTCGAGAAAAAAAAAAAAAGGTANAAAAAAAAAAAAAAAAAAAAAAAAGGTAAAGGTTATCCAGAGAAAGTACGTTTTTGCGCTTGATTACGTAACTTAAAATATAGTCCGTACTTGAGCTGTACCCCCTTGAGCTGTTAAGATTTGAGTCCTCGAACGAGAAGATCCAGGACCAAAAGTTATTCTTCAAAGTGGTCCTTTTTTTTTGTCTTTTGCGCACTGTACCTCTTAAGCTCATGAGTAAAGTATTCTAATCTTAGTCTTCAATAAGATGTGTTCTACTTAGGCTGTTATAACCCATCCCCTAATTTTTTGCAGAGCTAGTTATAATGCAACGTAAAATGTAAAAATTATATCATTTCTTACTATTTTTAAATCATTATTAAATAGAATAGTAATGAATTGTAAAGAACTATTAGAACTTGTTATTTTGGTACATTTCTTTGTTAATAATATATATAAAAAAAACTACAGTAAAGTGCTGAACTTGAAAAAAAAACTGAACGCCTCGAATAACTTTTGATTTAACGAATGGATTTGCATGTATTACCGTGAATGTCATTTTTCAAGAACTGTTCAATCAATTTCATTCGAATTTTGTATTTGTCATATTAAATTACATTCTTTTGAATAATGTCAGAATTTGTATATCTTGCAATTCAAAACTATTTTGATTATTATTTAATAAAATAATAAAAAATAATGAAACAAATTACTATTAAAAATGATCTTTCGAAAGGTAACTGCTTTTTTTTGCATATGAATTTTCGAATTGGGCTCAAAATTTTTTTCGATCTGTTCGAAAAGTTGTCAAATTATGTCGAAATATGCAAAATTAGAATTAATATTTAAGGAGCCAAACTTTTGACCGCAGTCCTGATTAAACTATTGGGGACATATTTCCCTGATCGTATCGATTCCATCCCCCCCCCATCAATATTTTGAAAGTCAGGAATCTAAATTCGTCGAAAAAAAGGTACGTTTTTTTCCACAGAAAGTACATTTTTGTGTTTCATTTCGTAACCTTTTTGTTTGCATTAATTAATTAACATGCATGAAGTCATCTCTTTAAACTGTTATCACCAAAAACGTGAGAATCCTATCACTAGGTAAAAAGCAGCAGTCTGAAAAACTAAATTTTTTTGTAGTTAACCACAACTACAACTACTTTATTGCAAATGTAGATATCTAAAACTACAACTACTTTTTTTAACTGTAGCGACTACAAATTACTTTCGAAATGTAGTCACTACTCGGCTAATTTTAGAAGACAAACTTGACTGGAGAACTTAATTTTCACCAATATTCAAAATGATTTCGAAAAACAAATGGCGTTGTTAAGTATTAAGAGTTACTAAGAAGTTTTAATTCATGTTTACATGAAATAGTTTTTTATTCTAAAGCACTTTTTACGAATTTGTTCTTTCAACTTTCAAACTATTGCTTTTCTCGACAGTATTTAAGAAATGCTAGGAAATTAACAAATATTTGTGATTTAAGTGATTAATGTCTTTTTTATATCCTCCAAGAAATAAAGTTACAATGCGAAAAACAACGGACTACCCTAAGTAACTTTTGATCTAATGACTCAATCTTAATGGTTTGAGGGGGGTGACAGCAAATATGCTAATTAATTAACGCAGACGATATTTTAAGTTACGAAATTAGACACAAAAAAGTTCTTTATAGTTTCTGTGAAATGGAATTTTAAAATAGTCAGATGTTTAAAATTCGATTTCGCAGGAGCAATTCGATCGATTTCGTACCGATTTTTCCGAGCCACAGATGTAAATTCGAGCTTCAAACGTTGTTAACACTCGGCCACAGAGGCATTCTCATTACGTGCGTAGACGGGCCCGCTAAGAATTTGCATCAATCATATTCGAAAAACTTTTTGTATTTGAACTTTGTTTCTTCATTTAAGTAACGTTAAAAGTAGTTGTCAAGAATAGCTACTGTTTTGTTGCATCGCACTACAAACTACGGAAAGTAGTTTCGCTTTTTCCGACCACTGATTAAAAGTTATCCAGGATGTTAAGTTTTTCTTTTCGCATTGCAGATTCTTAAAAATATTTATGCTTTTAGTATATAATATTCATAAACGTATACACATGTAACTAATAAAACTTCATTTTCCTCATGTATATTCTCGTAAATGTATCTTAACATCGCCCGCTAGGTATTTCTTTTTTTAAAAAAATTATTAACTCATTGAGTTAACAATTTTCATTAATTTTTCATTTATTTATAGAGATAACTGAAGCAGGAGAAGCACCAGAATGTTTTGAAACACATGACGTCAGTACAGTACTATTCAACTTTTTTTTAGAAGCTTTATTAGTATTTTTTAAATTATTAGTTATTTAATGAGTTTCTTTTTTAATCTTTTAGTTTATATTCTAAAATAGTTCTTAGTTATTCAGCTAAATGCTGTTTTTTTTTCAATAACTATTAATTTTTTCAAATGTACTAGTTACTTAATTCTTTTTTAAGTCATTACTTATTTTTTGAGTTATGAGTCATTTATTTTTTTCTTCTTCCATTTGGCTCATTCGAACTCGAAATGATATACTTAAAAGCTAACTATGTGATTACAGGGTGAAAGAGGCATACATAAAAATAAATGTGCCAAATAAAGTACTATGTAGAAAATTCATGGAATTGTACGTATTTTTAGTTTTGCCGTTTTTTATAACTTCTTTTAACCTTTTGTGCCAGAACCGTTTCTGTTTTGCCTCAGAACTATTTTAGCTACGTACTTTTTTATGCTAAAATACAAATTTTTCTGTATTTTAACATAAAAATAACGCAGATAAAAAAATAGACAAATGGACCTGTCTAAAAATGTCTTTATTTTTTTGGAATATGTTGAATTAAAAATTCTCCTTCAAAGGATTCAAATATCAAAATTCTATAAATATTTTAAATTTCACCAGCCCAGCGGAGGTCTTAAATAACTTAAGATATCAAAATGTTTTCTTCAATGAATAAAGAATCTTACTTTGCAACTATTTTTTCTACAGGTTTCAAGAAAAAGTTAAGAATAAAAATTTTAAAAAATAAATGTCGTTATTGTAGGCCATTAAGAAAAAGGGTGCGATTGTTCTTGTTTTCTAGTGGCGCCATCTATGGCAAAAAATTCGATTTCTAGCATACGTCATTCGTCATAGGGCGGAACCATTCATACATCCATTCATTCATGGACAGATCGTAATCTTGACTTCAACCAAAGAACGATCAATCTTTAATTTAGTATCCTCAGAGGTATAATTTGTTACGATAATATTGAGGACTTTGTGACTCAACAGATTTAACGTTCATCAGTCACTATTTACTATACTGTCTTCGGCCGACAGGATTCGAACTTCCGTTCTCGTGAATATGATTCCAGAGCCCTTCCAGTCTAGCTATCCCGCCCGGCCTAAAAAATAAATAAAATTGCAATTGTTCTTTTTTAAATATTTGGAGAATATGCGAATTCCCGGCTAGGAACCTAAGTTCATTTTGATTTTTTTTTCCAATCGAAATCGCCTGTGGTCGAAAAAGTTCTGTAGTGAAATCAAGTGTTTGTTAAAAAAAAATTTCTTTTTAACAAACAGTTGATTTCGATTTCGATTGGGAAAAAAAAACCCTCCACCCTATTATATAAGACAAATCTTTTTTAATTCCAGGGCTAAATAAAACACAAACAACTTCTGTTTTTATTCAACTTTGTTATTAATTTTTATTTAATAAAATTGCAGATTAAGCGGTTTCATGCTACAAATAGAGAGGAACGCCGAGAAATGAAGGTAAATAAAATAAAAACTACATATGAGTGCTACATCGTAGAACAAAATGTATTCTTTTCATTAATACAATTTTTCCTGTATTTGGACTTGTATAATCTGTATATAACTTGCATATGACCGGTATATATCCTGCTTCCCGTATTTGGTCCAGTATTTAAAATGGGATTTGCAATAGCTTGTTTCAACCTCTATATACAGCATACCAGTTTCAAAATGATAGATGAATAAGAGAGAGCACAAAAGGCCTTATTGTAATCCCCTAGTGTCGATCACTCATTATAGGCTAGGACACACTCCGGTCGCATTCATCCATCTCTTTTTTTTCTGACGTCAAGGTGAAATAACCCATTTCAGAAGGTAGGTGGCAGCACATTGTTGTGGAACGTACATAAAGGGTGTCCAAGGCAGGCAGAAAACATTGCAATCGTTGGCCTAATGGGCGATCGAAATAGGCTGCAGGTGGCGTGGAACAAAAATCTCTACTTATGGCAACACTTCGCTTGCTCTCACCAGTAGCGTGTGGAGAGTCAAAGGAGACGGAAGTACATTCATTTCTGCCTTGATTTTTAAATAGATTTAAAACTTTTAAGAAAGGGAACTGTATGGAACTGAAAACTACATGGAACATAGTTTCAAAAGAAAGCGTCGCGTAAACTTTTTAAAAAAACATTGGTGACAATTAAAAATGAAAAGTATTAAGAAAGGGGAAAATATCGTATTACACTCCTATACAACTGAGAAGAGGGGGAGAGAAGGATCAACCGGTCTTTTCCCCAGATGGCGTAATCGAGCGCTGCGATCGCGAATGCGTAAACGTAGTGAGGTATGCGATGTCAAAAAGGGCGTGATCATCGGCCTCAGGGCCAAGAATGAAAGCATTTCCGAAACGGCTGATTTTGTTAACGCTGTTCACGTGCCGGCGTGATAAAAGTATAACATGTATAGCGAAATCGCACTATCCAAAAACAGCGATGTGACAAATGTGGTGCAACATGGGCCATAGGTAACAAGGTGAACGACGACTGAAAATGCGTGCGAATAGACGTATAATTGTTGAGTAACTGACCACTCAGATGAACCAATGGGCTTCCAACAGTGTCTCAAACGGCACGAAACGCGTGAAAACAAACACCCTGTAATAATAGCCGGAAGGATATAAGTTGGAGGAGGTAGCATCTTTCAGCGGCTGGATGCAGAGAGTACTGGTACTGGTTAAACTGTAATTGGGTTAACGCAGATTGGGCAGTGGCACTAAACCTTAAAAAAACATTGATGTAAGGCATACCGGGCTAATGCAAAGAGGGCAGTGGCACTTAACTAGACTCATTATATATTTCGTACATTTACGAAAGCTACTATGTACACATTATGTCAACATTAACCGGTGAAATTCAACAACCACCCGTTTCGATCATTCACAGTAACATAAAAAAGTCGAAGTTGCGATGTAGCATACTTCTTTTTGTTTTTATTCATCTTTGCATTTGAAGAATGCTGTTTAATATCATTATTTAAACATTTTAGGCAGAATTTAAGAAATGGATGAAAGAAAAAAGTGAAGATGAAAAAAAAGAAATTCTGGTATGTTTTTTTTTTGTTTATGCTTTTCGGTTAGTCGAGCGCAGAAGAAAAATGCAAACCCCCACAAACTTTATTATTTTATTTCATTTATTTTTTAAACACTGAACGAACGTTCGCAAAAAATTAAATAGAACAAAAAAATAAATAACTTGATTTTCCTTGCGCCTATCTAACTGAAAAGTATCTTTTTTTAAAATAAAGAATAACAATAACAGAAGGCTTCGTCCCCAGATCTCTAATGCTCGAAAACACGAAAAACTGCTTACGCACTTGTCTTAAGATGTTTTCGTGATTCGGGGTGTTTTTTTTATATTTTAAAACCATCGTGGAACAGCCGACCCTATTTTGGGCTAACGACAACCCATTTCTAACTCCGTAGCCTTAAAATTTCGAACTCGTGGATCAAGTATTGATAGAAATTTGTCTCCGGGAGGACTTTTTGATGGAACTAACCTGCATTTGCGTTACATGGAGAGGAAGAACGTCCCACGGTTAGCTTAACGGCAAGGGGTCTCTAACCGATGATCCATCTACCACTGGGGATATTGCACGTCAGCACTGTGGTCGGTGCAAGCCAGATGATGGATTCGAACCCGGTTCACCTCATTGGAAGGCGAACACTCTATTCCCTGGGCCATCGCGGCTCATTCGGGTGTTTCACTCGCACATTTCACTAATCAAAGTTTTAGTGGGTTAACGTATTAAAATATGAAGGTATTGGGTGAGAATGATATTCGTTTCTCGCGAGCAAATTTATCGCTCTATAGGACCATTTTTTTCTAATAATGATATGCAAAAATAATTTTTGGTTTCAGATTGATTCTAGAAAAGAAATTCACTTGACTTATTGCTTAAAATTAATTTGGTTTTAAAAATCATCTTCTTTATGTTAAGAAGTTGGGTGAGATTTTCAAAATGTTACCTTCTGTAAAAATGTAATCATAACTTTCATACAAATTCTGAGCTTATAAATAAACAAACTTCTGCTTTTATAGCTACAAATAAACTCGCACTAAGATTTACGGAGAAATGAACATAACGCACAAGAGAAAGTAACTCCTCTGTTTTTGACCCCACGCATACTGTTACTTACATTTATATGAACAAAGCCCTTCGTTTTTTCTTCTTTTTTTTTAAATTTTATTTATTTTTTTGCTTTTTTTTGCAGTTATTAACTGATAACAACTCAAATCAGAGGTGGGATCGTTTAATTAAAAATTGATATAGTTGGTATTTATACCACATCTTTATAAAAGGTTATAACTTATAAATTGATCAATAATGTGGGATAATGCATACCAAAAAAATAGCCAAATATTTGGGAATATATTTCAGCCGACTCTTAAGTTATTATTTTAATTCTTTCATTGTGTAATTATTTTTAATTATTTTAATTTCAAGTAATTATATTAATTTAATAAACAAAAATTATAAACATTAAATATTTATGTAATTATTTTAATTTAATAAACAAAATGTCCCCCATTCTCTCACACCAAGAAATGAATATTTCAATAAAAGAGGTCACGTTGATGGTAGAAAAACTCGAAAGGACAAATTTTTAAAATGTCTCTGTATTAATTTACAAGTTATTTAAAATTTCTCTGTATAATTGCATAAATATTTGTAGAGTCTTCTTATTAAAAAATCCTAATTTTTAAAAATATGTGAACTTACTGTATGCCAATCTTAGATTTCGATATGTGGAAAGAAAAACAATTTTTTTGCTAACCTTTAGCTTATAGAAATGAATTTCATCAAAAAAATTTCATCGAAAAACTATTTTAAAATAAAATAACTTTAAATTAATTTAAAAACTAATTGAATGCATTGTTACAATGCATCTTTACGTTAGATAGAACATAAAATGTGTTTTAATGTAGAGATAAATAGGAATTTTATTTATTTATTTATTTATTTATTGAGTTATTGATTTATTTTTGTTTTAAATATAGAGCTGCTTTCTCGAAATGGGAACTCAAATTATGGAGAAATTGAAGGAAGAAGGTACAGAAATAAGCGAAGAATGTAAAAACAAGTTTAAAAAAGTTTCAGCAAAAATGCTTTCTTACATAAATGGAGAAAAGGAGGATGCTGGGGGAGAGGAAGAGAAAGAAGAAGAAGAAGAGGAGGAGGGGGAGGAAGATGAATAACTATACATTTAGAAATTAATATCACCGTGGATAATTAAAATGATTTAATTATAAAATTCATAGCTAAAATTGATTCTTTTTTTGACTTTGAACAAAAAAAAAGTTTCTTACATAATGAAAGGAGGTTTCAAAGTATTCATTCCTTCTATACATAGTGTTCTGTATTTACCACCTTTAACATTTAGAATTCAAATCCCAAATTAAAATATATGTCATAAAGAAGGAAGCAAATGCTTGTCAAAATAGATTCAGAAGTTTCTAAGAGAGACTACGCCAGTTAACTATAGAAATAGACTTTTAACATCAAGAAAAATATCGACGACGGAAAATTTCGAAACGAATCTCAGATTAAAATAAGTACCATAACAAGAAGTATAAGAAAAAGTTCTTAAAAGTAAAATACATAAGTGATGTAGTGTTTTAGAGAAACTACATTAATTAGCTATGGAAATTCACTTTTTCTCAAGACTAAAAAATCGTCCACTGCAATTTTTAAAACATAATCCTATGTTAAAATAAACGCCATAATAAGAGATGAAAAAAATTTATATTAAATAGTTTTCCAGTGAAACTACATCAACTAGCTTGCTTTAAGTATTACAATAAAATCGTCCACTGAAAATTTTAAAAACATGATATGTTAAAATATGTATCCTAATAAGAGATAAAATTTCTTTTGAAAACTTAATGCAGTAGTTTCTTAGAAAAATTACATCAAAATTAACTATAAAAACTGACGTGACACATAATTTAAATCTCAGCAACTGAAAATTTCAAAACAAATCCGATGTTAAAATATGCAGCAGATGAAGCAGCACCATAGAATGAGGAACAACATTTTGTTTTGAAAATCTATTTATTAGAAACTACAAAGTTGATTACTAAAACTTCACGTTACTTTCAAATTACTAAAAAAATCATAGACTGAAAATTTCATAACATATTCCTAATTAAAACATGCGCTGTAACAATAACGTTTCTGACATAACATTGACAACGTATAATAAAATGTCTGCATTGTATACAAGCATTTTTTTAATTTTACGATCTTATTTTGAAGTAAGATTTTAAATCTGAAGCATTTTCAAATTTTTAGGCATATTTAAAAATAAATCACAGAAACTTTAAGGCAATGTAAATTCATAAAAGTGTAAAGTAAATAATATAGTTCGCCTTCCTAATATGATTTAATGTGTTCAATCAAAGCTTAATTTCTAAAAAGAAGGAAAAAAAAACTAATACATATTAGCTAATTTCGAAAAACAGCTAAGTTTAAAATGTGGGCAGATTTTAAAATTTAGTGTGCACTTTTAAAAATTCAGTCGTAATCACGTTCTAAACACATTTTCTTAACATATAATGTACTATTGATGCTAAATGAAACAATGTTGATGACATTAATCATATAGTAATATATGATGAAAAACCATTGACAATAATCATAAAAGCGGGATAATAAGTAAGCAACCTTAAACTTGCTCCAAAAAACTAAGTTTGAAAAAATTTTAGCAAAAATGGTTTAAAAAAAAGGGTAAATTTAATTCCTAACGTGTAAAAGTTTGCAGATATGTTAATATTCTTCAGAACATGTGGTCATATCATATGTAAATAATCCGAAATCTGCACGAAGCAACATTAATAATATTATGAGAGGCAATAGTTTATCAGGGCTCACACTAAGCATTTGCCNCATATTAGCTAATTTCGAAAAACAGCTAAGTTTAAAATGTGGGCAGATTTTAAAATTTAGTGTGCACTTTTAAAAATTCAGTCGTAATCACGTTCTAAACATATTTTCTTAACATATAATGTACTATTCATGCTAAATGAAACAATGTTGATGACATTAATCATATAATATAGGATGAAAAACCAGTAACACTATTCATAAACGCAGGATAATAAGTAAGCAACCTTAAACTTGCTCCAAAAGACTAAGTTTGAAAAAAGTTTGGCAAAAATGGTTTTAAAAAAAAAGGGTAATTTTAATTCCTAAACTGTAAAAGTTTGCAGATATGTTAATATACTTCAGAACATGTGCTCATATCATATGTAAATAATCTGAAATCTGCTCGAAGCAGCATTAATAATATTATGATAGGCAATAATTTATCAGGGCTCGCAATGAGCATTCGCAGTCAAATCGTAAATTTGGCAATAGCAACAAAAAAGTGTTTTTGCTACAGTATTTACGAATGACCTTTTCTACCGAAAAAAATAGATATATATTTCCCTTAATCCTGAAAAAAAGGAGAAAAGATCTAAAGGAATTTTTGTGAACAGATCCTGTATTTTTCATTCAATTACAGTAATTTCAGTTAGATACGTCGCATAACTAATTAGAATTATATCCATATAAAGTAAGCAGCAAGAGAAATTACGTAAGCTTGAGACAAACTACCGTAAAATACAGAATACCACGCTCGTTGTCCGATCACGCGATAAAAATTTTTTTCTACAGTTTTTGTCAGTAAAACAGATTAAGTGGTAGCAAAAGATTCATATTATCATCCAACTATTTTTACAGAAAATATGTTTTCTCGTGGACAATAGCATTATGTTGCTTTAGGTTTATCCTTACATTACTGATCTAATCTGAGAAATTATCAAAGATTAACCTATTTCTTTTCCTCAAAGACGATAAAACATCCTCTCTCCCTTTTTTCTTCTTTTTCTCATCCCCAACTGCAAAATAACTCTTGATTTGAATTTGCATTTTATAAAATAACTCAACTTATGGTAAATTTGTATTTTGATTTGAAGTTTCTATTGTGAAAAAAATCAACCATAAGAAATTGTTAAGATTTGCCTTTGGCTCAGGAGTTTGAAATTCGGCTAATACTTTTGTTATTTGGATAATTTACTGGATAATGATTTGAAGTTCTTATCACTGGCCCTGGTATATTGAAAATTAATCAGAATTTATTTAAATTTAGGAATTTTTTAATATACGCATTTAGGAATGAAAAGTCGGTATAGCTTGGTTGGTAGAGAGTTGGGCCCATGTCCAAGAAGTCGTGAGTTCGATCCCTCCTTCTGAAAACCCTCCGTGTAGTAAATGGTGTCTGGTGCACATTAAGCCTGTCGGGTAACAAAGTCCTCCATGTTCCCATAACAAATTATACCTCTGCGGTACAGAATTGGAGATGGATCGTTTTCTGGTTCAGGTCAAAATTACTATCTATGGATGAATGAATGGATCCACCTTATAAACGGGTAGTGAGATATGTGTGGCTGAAGTCGTGTTCTCCGCCATAGATAGCGTCGTTTGGTTTCATGAAGCAGGCTTGTTGGTATTGGTAAAGTGGCATTAGAAACAACAACAACAGGAATGAAAGGGAAAGAAAACGGCGATTCACTGGCTCCAGAAAATTATATTGATGAAAGCTTCCCTGCGTTAAGATTAAGATGTATGTAAAAAATTTACTGAAAAAAAGAGAAAGAAAGAAGGAAAATTTTGAAAACTGAGTTCTCGCGAGTTCCCATGAAAGTTAAGCCTTGTTTGTAATCAGCGTTTAGTTGCATAACGTTTCAGCAATTATTAAACCGTTTTTGGAACTAAAAAATGTATTAGACTGCTTAGTACATTTTTATTTTCAACAAATTATAAATTTTAGCCTTAATAGCCTTAGCTTTGTTAAGCCTTGTTTGCAATCAGAGTTCAGGTGCTTAACGTTTCGACAACGATTAAACGATTTTAGGACTCAAAAATGTATTAGACTGCGTTGCATATTTTTTCTTTTATCAGTTCATAATTTTTTGCCTTGTTTACTTTCGCTTTGTTAAATCTTGTTGGCTATCAGAGTTCAGTTGCGTATATCGTTTCAGCAATGATTAAACCATTTTTAGAACTGAAAAATGTATCATACTGCCTTGTACATTTTTACATTTATCAGTTCATAATTTTGAGCTCAGTTTGCCTTAGTTTAACTACAATTTTTACATAATTTTAAAGAACATAATTTCGTAAGGCAAAATAAAAAAAAAATTGAGCAACATCGGTTGTATAGTTCCGGAGAAATTGAATTTCAAAAAATCAGATATTTAAAATTCGATTTCTCAAGATTCAACAGATTTTGCACGAATTTTGTATTTTGCCATGCAAAATTATATTCTTTAAAATAATGCAAAAATTTTCATACCTTACAATTTATAATATTTTCGACCCTTATTAAATATATAGGGGTGTAAGGGTATATAAGGGTGTATAAACAAATGATAAATACTTTTTAAAATTTATTTTTTGCACGGAATTATCTTTGGATAAATGAATTTTATAATTGTGTGCAAAAAGTTTTCAATTCGCTTATAAAGTTCTCGAGATTTAGCGAAATACGCAAAAAGTAAAATTAACATTAAGAGCTCCAAACTTTGGATCACTCTCCTGACTAAACTATTGGGACCATACCTTCTTCCACATAGTGACTACCCCCTATACAGTAAAAAAAAAATTGATTCTTAACATTTAGTACATCCTAATGAATTTATTGTTCTATTTGGTTAATAGATTTTCAGCTGACAAAGGCGGGTTTCTGTCAAAAGAATCTCGATCATTTAGGGTTTTATAACTGAAAAAAAATTGGGTACTCCTGACTTGTAAACTAATTTAAAACAAATTTTAAAAACGGAAATAAAATTTAAAAATTAGCTATTTTTCGTGTTTAATAATCTAAGTAGAAAATAAAGCTAATTGACTTACTATTATAGGATAAATGAACACCTTATCAGAATGTAAATCTTTCTTTAAATCATTTCAAGACAAAGAAAAGCTTATAGGCTTTACTTTAGACATTATGAGAAAACTTTTTTTCATTTAAAAAAAATAAAGACCAAAAAAAAATGGAGCGCGTTTCACAGTCTAAGCAAAAAACAAATGCAAAATGACTTACTGTTAAACGGTCAATTCACATTTTATCACTTACTAAAAATTTCTCGAAATCCTTTCAAGACAAAATATTTTTTATAGGCTTTACTTTAGAACTATACTATAAGAAAACTTTTTTCAAAAAATTGACCAAAACTTGAAAAACAAAGTAAATTGACTTACGATTAAATGTTGAATTTACATCTTCATTTCTTTATGCATAAAGATCATTCGAAGACTTTTTGGCATCGTCTTTTACAATAATAAGTTTCTCTCTTTTAATTATGCATTTTTAGAAAGCTTGGGTGTAATGTTCAATAGAATATTTTGGCGACCTCTCCTTCTCACTTCCTACGAACCAACTTAGCTTCAATAAAAGATAATCTCTCTTTATCTGACAAATGACAATTTCCTGTTAAGAATGTTTAGATGAAAAGGGCTAGTTTCCGCCAATTGCAATGAAGTCATCTCATAAATTGAAATGTTTATGGAGGGAAATTTTTATGGACTCTCTCTACACGCGCTATTGATCTCCCTCACCCCCACCCCCTTTCTACTCTCAATAAATTACAGCGCATGATTTCCGAAAATAAAAATTGAATTTTTAATTTCTCGAGATCAAACTATATAAATGATACCGCCTCCTCTGTTTTTGAAAACGTTTCTCTTCCTTTCATAGTGCAAAAAGTATTAGCTAAAAAATAATAATTTTTTCTTAGATAAAATTTTAATATATTTAAATAATAATAAAAAAAAATTTGATGCTGGTATACGTTTTGAAATTAATTTATAACAAAGTAAAAAAATTTTTTTTGCTGCCTTATTCATTTTAACAAATTTTATTGGCGGGAGAATTACGATTTTTTTTAGACACGTACTCTTTTATTTGAAGATGGCAAAGAAAGGCATTTTTTTAAATTTTGAAATTAGTTTCGGAGCTATAAAACTTATTAGTTTTTTTCAGGCCTCTTTGATAAAAAAAGAAAAAAATTATGTTACAAATATATGTTACGAAAGGTTAACTAAAAACTCGTATTAATTTCTGAAAAACAACTTGCCATATAGTCTGTTTTCATTAAAAAAAAATCGATTATTTTAATTGGAGGGGATTTAACTTATTAATATTTATGTAAAATAATATTGAAAAATTTTAAAATTTTCACCCACTGGTTCTTCAGTGGTAGAATGACGGAAATCGAATACAAATAGCCGTTAAAAGACTGCTTTTTTTTTTTTTTTAAATTACCTGAAAAAAGTTTCTATTTTTTTTATAACCGTCGTTGAACAGCCGACCCAGTTTTGGGCTTACGACTACTAATGTTCAACCTTAGCCTTGTAATTTTGAACCCAATACAGAAGACAAGGGAACTCCTTGATCAAGAATTAAGTGAAATTTTACCTTCGTGGAGGACTTTGTGACGAAATTAATTACATTTAGAAGAAATCCGCGAAAACCTCCCACTGTTAGCCTGACGCCAAAGATACTCTAACCCATGATCTGTCTACCACTGAAAATATTTTACGTCGCAAAAAGTTTTGTAAACTTCAGTCGTTTACTTGTATGAGAATGCTTATTTATGATCCATTTACTGTTTTTCCATAATCATTTAATGTAAACTGTGTAAGACGAATTATTGTCCATCTCTAATAATATCGTAGGCAGAAACTTAAATTGAACTCTACAGTTAGTTCCCGGATATCGGCAAGTAATAGCGAAGAACAGGGGAATAATATATTTAAAATATACTTTACCATAAATTTTTCGATAACTTAATTCCCAGCCTTCAAATTTCATTATTTCAATTCAATCTATTAACAACATTATTTCAAATCTATTAAGAATTCTAATGATGCATAAAACCTACCTAAAGCATTAAATAAATAATTCCAAGAAATTGTAGCAGTAATATATTATTGGATTAAAAAAAAACTTCATTTGCTTTTGAATCAAGTAAACTTAAAGCGTATTTTACATTTAACATAAGATGCATATCCAATTTATTAAATACTATTTTAATTTAATTCCTCATGAATCACATTATTTGGGTTAGATATTTTTTATTCACTTTTACACTGGGTAATGTATATTTAATTTATTAATTGCTTTATTTTTAATTCATAAATTATATTATTATTTTAATTTTTAATTATATTATTATTTAATTTAACAATCGTACATTATTATTTATTTTTATTTAATTTCATGAAAATATATTAAATTGGATAACATTATCCTCTTATTTATCGAAACTCTTTATTTAGTTCATCAATTCTATTATAATTTTCAGCAATCCTATTACAATTTTATTAATCAATTACGTTATTATATATTTGATCTATCTTATTCATCCATCTTATTGTTATTTAATTCATCAATCCTATAATTTCGTTATGAATTCTATAGTTATTTAGTTCAGCAATCCTATTTCAATTTTGGTCTACAATTCTATTATAATATAGTTCAGCAATCCTATTATAATTTCATGAATACGTTCGACTATTACATAGATAGTTTATCAATCTTATTATTATTTAGTTCGTCCTCCTTATTATTATTCTTCAAAATTTCGTTTGTAAATTCTGTTATTATTCACTTTATTAATTCTGTTATTATCATGGCTGAGGGTCCCACTTAATACTTAGAAATCTCTAAAACTTTCCCCCAGCATTTCAAACGAATAAAAAAAATTCATGAATAATTTTTTATTTAAATTCACCGAAGTTAAAAACACGAAAGAACTAAAACTAATTGATCTTTTGCCAGATACTTAGCAGATATTAGAAATTTTTTTTCTCACGACTGAAATTTAGATAACTATTATGACTGTGTGTTTTAATTTTGTCCTCCTCAAAAATTGGAAACCAGTGACCCCATAGTTAATTAGACCATCAATCCTGTTATAATTTTGTTCATCCATTGCATTATTTTTCAGGTCAACATCTCTATTTCTATTGGTTGTTTTAACTTACGAACAGCTTTTCGACATAACATTCAGTGTATCTAACCTATGAGCCAAAACTGTAGTTGCTTTTCACTTAATAGCTGTTTACAAGTTAGAACAAACCCAGTTAAATCAAGTTAATCCAGTGGTCTGTTCTCATCAACTCTCCTTACTCAAAAAAATGAGGGGAGCACGTGTATTTAACGAAATTACGCAAATCTGCCTGCTTGGGGCATGTGCGGAAGAAGCGTTGATGCAAGACCAAGTAACTTTCCTAGATTTGGAGATCACGCTTAGTCGAGAGTGGAACAGTATTCTCCAAATTATCATCGATAACCTCATGCATAATAGGTGTTTGGTAATCTTAGCAGTTGAGGGGACCACACATCATAATAAACATTCTGTATCATTTACGTACAATCAGTTTTTTTTCTTTTTCCGTCATTGACATGTTATCAAATTGTTTCCTTGAAACATCATCTCATGTTCTTTATACCATTCCAAATAATTAAAGTTCTCATGCAATCGTTTTTTTTTGCTTCTTTTTACATGTATTGCATTTTGTTAAATCTGTATTCTCCATTTTATGCCCATGCATGACTATCGCGCAAAGGTTTTATAACTTTTTTGTTCGCTCCCTTAATTTTTTTGAGTAATGTNTGTGTGTGTGTGTGTGTGTGTGTTGGTGTGTTTGTGTGTGTGTGTGTGTGTGTGTGTATGTGTGTGTGGGAGTCAGTGCAGCATTAGATGAAATAACGACGATAATATAATAAACATAACAATTTAATAGAAATAAAAAGGATAGAAGGATATAGCAGTTAACATTATTGACATGACTCGTGAGAGCTGCCTTCGAGCAGTGGTCTCCGGAATGCATGTGACTAAGAATTAGATTGTTCTATGGTATAAAGTTAAGAGTTAATTATAAATTCGGGAGTTTCCCTTCGGGACTGGCTGGCGCCTCTCTTCTAGGAAGTAGTATAACATGATTTCTTCCCAGTATTACATGATAAAGAATGATGCAATCGGCTGAGATATTACACCATGGCATTGAAACCTACATATATATATTTCAAAACTTCCTAAGCGTATATGAGAAGAAACAAAAGTGATGTGAAGTATAAAACGCGTAAAGTTGCCAGTAAAAAATGGAAAAATGAAGGTGAGAAACAAAAACTAGAAAAATCACAGTAGCCGAGAAAGAAAAAAAAAGAATAAGAGCAATCACAGTGGCTGGTAGAAAGAGGCAAATTTGGGTAAAATGCATCTCCAGTGGCCATAGTGGGGCAGTGAGAAATCAATGCCATTAACAAGGGAATAAGCATTTATAGGAATAAAATAAGATTCCAGCGCATCAAGATGAGCTGATGTGAATGGGGTGGAAAAAATTTCAGCATTGTCGAAATTGACTTTATGCTCAAGATTCCAACAATGTGCAGCAGCTAATGATTTATCGTATTCATGATAACAGACATTTCTATTGTGCTTCTTGAATCTAAATTTTAAAGCATGCCTAGTGTTTGCCCGTTGCAGCCGAAGTCACATTGAATAGGAATGCGGTAAAATGCGACAGCGATTATCAAAGCGAATAAGATTTTATAAATGGACTTTTGTTTACAAGCCTAAAAATGTTTTTAAAACCAAATGGTTGAGGATATAAGCAATTTTGTAACACGAGAGAGAAAAAAAACCCAGCAAAGTAACAAGTTCTCTGTAAGGATTAGAAGACGAGGGACGTTTCGGTCTAGTGAGTTTAATAAGAGCTGTTGAAGTGTTAAATCCACGGTCAGCAGCAAGCTAGCGGAGGAAGTTAAGTTCGGAATTAAAAGAAGAAGAGTTAGAGTAAAGGTTTACTTCGCGGGAAAGGAAAGAATGAAATGCAAAAATAATTTTGACAATTAGGGTTATTCGAATCAACATGAGTAGGCAAAGAAAGGGCAAAATATTTACGACAAACAGAGGTGGAAAAATGAACAGGGTATTTAGTTATAAGATCCTATAAAAAATTTAAAGCAAAATTAATCTCCTCGTTCCTATTTTTGAGCACTTGAAACATGTCAACTCTTATTTCCTCTTTATATATTTTTGAAGCGAACGTATTTTTTAACCAAGTAATAACTTTCAGCTTCAGTTTCGGGGGATTATTTAACTAACCAATTTGTTATTAGTCAGTTTTTGCTTAATGGGATGCCTGTTAGTCCTTTCTTCCCCCACCCCAGCAATTCTTGGAATTGCTAAGACAAATCACTTTCGATCTAATTGGCAAAAATAAGTCGGTCTTCTATCATGGATGAGATCCTTTAATATGGATGAGATTCATATCTCATCCATAAATGGATAAGATTTGAACAAGAGAGAGAGATTTATATATATATATATATATATATCTGTTTTGTTTTTATTTACTTATTTAATGCAGTTTACAAGCATTTAAAATTGAAT